ACACAGGCCCTATAGCCTGGCTGAAATTTTGTTATAATGAACTATCTCTCACACACACACACACACACACACACACACACACACACAGACGTTGAGATGACTTGTCCTCTGGGTTCTGAAATGAGCTGTGCATGTCTTTTAGAGATAAATAAGAAAGCTCATGCTAAACAAATGATTAAATATTTTTCTATTCAGAAAGACCGATTACAGACAGATTGGTGTGTGAACAATGCAAATAAAAAATATATATATTTTTGTTTTCCTTTAAAAGCATCTCTTAAAAATAGTTTATGCAATTTATTATGCATATTAATTTAATATAATGAACATTTTTATACATATTAATATGCATTATGAATACAATATATCATGCAGTTTGTTTCAAGTACATTTTCTCTCATTTGAATGTTGTAAATGTGATTTTCTACTGGAAACCAGACAAAATGCTGATTAGGAACATGTACTTCTGTGCATACTCGTAGGAACATGTACTCAGTCAATGTACTTTTAACATACGTTCAGATGATTCAGTCATTGATTATGGGCTTTGAAGGCCTGAAGGCCAGACATCTATAAGAACTGACGTGTGCTAGCCCTGTCTAATTACTTAAATGAACCGAAATCTATAAGCACTTTCAAATGCCATTAGCTTGAGATACGGTATAATAAACATAGATGATTAGATGCGCCGCAGGGCAAATAACACTATGAAAGTGTTCCATAGCAAACAACCATTTGCATTTATTCAGAGAAGACTCGCTAATTTAAAGGCTCACTCATTGCATTTGAGGTATAATGTACATTTGCAAATCTAAAATGTGACAAGGTGCATGTTGAAATATACTTTATAAATAAGTATATTGAATTGAAGGATCGAAGAGGTTCTGTTTGGCAAGAGAGAGGTCAGAAATAAAGTATGTTCAGTGTTTGTGATAACGGTAGCTGTGAGAAAAGCATTGTGGGTAATTTAAATATCAATCAGTGCCTCAGTGTTGGTCGTGTTGAATGGACACGCACACACACACCAACACTATAATTGGAGCCCCAACAAAAGACTATTGTTGCTGCAAAGTGTGTGTTTGCTATTTGTGATGTTTAATGTGATATTTCACCCTGAATTTCATACTGCTACTGCAAAAAATAATGCCTACCAATTATTTGATGACAGTGATTTGATGTCACCGATTTGATTGTACAGATGCATCAAATGTGTTTGATGTTTCATGCTTCGTTTCACAGATTTCATTTTATTGTCCTTTCTACAGAATTCTGATGATTGGATTTAAACCCAAAATTAGACCATTCAAAAAGTATAGGTATGCCTTGTGTGAATGTATGTATGTGTGTGTATTGTTTGTGTGTCTTTGTGCACATGTCTGGAACCCATAAAGGAAGCAGGCAGAAAAATGTGAGCTGATTTGTTCAAGTGGTACATTTCATGCAGAGCCTTGACCTTCAGCTGAAGCTCTCAGCATTGTGACAGTGTCCACATTACGATGTGCTTCCCTACAGTCACGTTATTACAGGGTTCAGTGTTTAAAATAATCACTCAGGGAGACATGAAACAAACATAATGTAGTCAGCGGGGAGCCTGTGACTTCTGTCTGCCGCTCTAAATCAAGATTAATGGGCTTGTGAATGCTACATTAATAGGCTGTCACTTGAGGATACATTTACAAGAGCATGATGATTATCCCGGTTTTACTGAATTTCCTCATTACAGGTGTTTGTGTTGTGCTGAAGATGGGTTAGAGCGCAGGGTGCAGTGTGAAAAAGCCGGATCCAGAACCTCCTGCACGTACAAAACCATTCAGAAGTTTAAGGTCAAATTTTTGTTTTCATGTTTTTAAAAGAAGTCTCCTGTGGTCAGCACTTATTTGATCTAAAATACAGTCAAACCGTTTTTTTAGAAAACAAATAAATACATTTTATTACAGTTTAAAATAACTTTTCTTTTTTAATATATTTTAAAATGTATTTCTGTGATGGCAAAGCTGAATTTTCATCCCAGTCTTCAGTGTTAGACGACCCCTTCAGAAATAATACCAATATGCTGATTTGGTGCTCAAGAAACATGTCTTATTATTATCAATGTTGAAAACCATTTTGCTGCTTTTTATTTATTTATTTAATAGATTTTGTTAACATTATGAGTGTGTCTTTACTGCCCCTTTTGATTAATTAAATGCTTCCTTGCTGAAGAATAGTTTAAATAATTAAATATTTAAATAAATAAATAAATACAAATCATGCTGAACCCAACATTTTGAAAGATGGTGTACTAGTTTTGTGTGATATCTACTATAGCCTATTCTGTACATCTTTTGAAGACACATTCATACTTTGGCTTGGATTATACATTTGTAATGCATCGTGTTCTGAAATCAAAATAAACGAAAACAAATAAATAAATTTTATTACAGTTTAAAATAACTTTTCTTTTTTAATATATTTTAAAATGTATTTCTGTGATGGCAAAGCTGAATTTTCATCCCAGTCTTCAGTGTTAGACGATCCCTTCAGAAATAATACCAATATGCTGATTTGGTGCTCAAGAAACATGTCTTATTATTATCAATGTTGAAAACCATTTTGCTGCTTTTTATTTATTTATTTAATAGATTTTGTTAACATTATGAGTGTGTCTTTACTGCCCCTTTTGATTAATTAAATGCTTCCTTGCTGAAGAATAGTTTAAATAATTAAATATTTAAATAAATAAATAAATACAAATCATGCTGAACCCAACATTTTGAAAGATGGTGTACTAGTTTTGTGTGATATCTACTATAGCCTATTCTGTACATCTTTTGAAGACACATTCATACTTTGGCTTGGATTATACATTTGTAATGCATCGTGTTCTGAAATGTATTTTGACCTTTGTAAGTTGCAATGATGACTGGAAGATAGCGGTTCACTGAATGTCATTATGGCCAAAAAAACGTGTGTGTGTGTGTGTGTGTGTGTGTGTTTGTGTTTGTGTTTGTGTTTGTGTGTGTGTGTGTGTGTGTGTGTGTGTGTGTTTGTCTACAGGGTCTCATTAAGTGAGAAAAACAGAAGCTCAGACAGACACAAACAAACTGACTGTTTCTATAATTATGGAAATGTTTTTGTTTGTGTCTGTTTATGAAAAGTAATAGATAAACTCTCATGTAAGATGTATTTTTTTGATACAGCATATAGTCACTTAATCGGTCACTTGTGCACAACTTAAAACCATAATTTGTTGGGAAAACTGAAGAAAACGCATTCTTTTTCATCTCTGAATCCACTGCTTTCCTTGGAATACTATAATAAGGCCACAGTTATGATGGGTAATATCCTTGTACATTAGGAATTGCTGACACAAAGCATTGTGGGAGCCGTAGGCCATAGACTACACTTGGTTTAAATTAAGTGCTTCTGAAATATAGTCTCATTTCGCTGTCAGTCAGCCTAATGGTTTTACCACTGACAGGGCTGTCATGCTCAGCTCCAGTGTCACACATCTAATAAAGGCCCTGCTTGCATATCTGGAGCTGAGTTTGGTTCCTGATGGGAGCCAACAAAAAGATTGAACCTCATTGGGGCGTTGCATTTATTTAGCATCATGCCGTAGGTCTAAATCAATGCAGATTTGGCTGTGTGTTTGTTTATGCTATTTATGTGAAGGTAAAATTAATATATAGACCTATACATGAATTATACATCTGTTTTCATTCCATATTAGTTGTTGTTTTCATTGCTCATTGAATGAAATACAGCAGGTCTGTTAGTGAAGGGAAAATAGGAGAGAGAGACTCTATTAATTGGAATTTCTGGGCCACTGAGTTGCTTGAGGCTTTATTATAAAACATTCTCAAAACGAACAAGTTTCATTAATTAGGAGAGAAACCCAACATATGCGCACACACCCTCATATGTTGAGGGGAATATAATAATTCTATATTGGTATTGTCTTCTTTTTTATTTTCTTAACCTAAGGCTTACCTTTCCATTCATGTTTTCACCCTGTAAGAGGCTTTAGCCCGGTCTCGTTTTAATGTCATGTCATCCATCATCATGCTGGCTAGCGGTGTGTGTGTGTGTGAGAGAGAGAGAGAGAGTGTGTGCACCAGAGTCCAGTCTTTCAGGCCAGTTTATCCCTCCATCTGTAATTAAAATCACTCATGGAGAACACCACCACCACTGAACAATGGCATCCATATTTTATTACGCGCACACACAACACCTACGATTACAGGCTGAGCCGCTCTTCACACACACTTACACACACACACTCCCACACTCATTTGATGGAATTTATTTTTATCATCCAACTCGAAATTGGGTTTTGACAAAACTGTCACTTTCAAGGACCTAGATAAGATTGACGAGTGTGTGTGTGTGTTTGCTCATACTGTAGCTCTGATTTCTTTGAGGTGGAGTCATAAAATCTGGAATCACTTTTCATTCTTTCTCTCTTTCGGTCTTTCTAAGATTTCAGACCTTTTACTTTTTTTTCTTTTAAATTATAAGGTCACTGAGTTTATAGTAAGAAAGTGATATGGCTTAGAAACCGGGTTCCCAGGCACGCCCCCCACCTTTCATTGGTTGGCCAAACAGATAGCCCCGCCCCAAAACCAGCACAACATTGGTTAAGCCATTATTGCTGTGTTGGTTTGGTGGTGTTGCTCAAACACACGATTTGATACAAGCCTATAAATGGTTTATTATAGTTGTCTCTGTATATTAAGCTGGTAGAAAATAAACTACTGTTCAAAGGGTTGAGGATTCTGAAAGATGTTATGCTGACCAAGGCTGCATTTATTTGATTAAAAATACAGTAACACAGTAATATTGCAAAATATTTTTAGAATTAAAAATATCTGCTTTCTATTTGAATTAATTTTGAAATGTAGTTTATTCCTGTGATGGCAAAGCTGAATTTTCAGCAGCTCCAGGATCTGGGTTGTTATCACTGTAGAATAAAAAGTTAATAAGAAAAGGATTTATTTGAAATAGAAAACTTTTGTAACAAGAAAATGATTTATTTGAAATAGAGATCTTTTGTAACTATGACGTTTTTGATCAATTTAGTGCAATCTTGCTGAATAAAAGTATTTTTTTCTTTATAAAAAAACAAAATGTAGAACATACTAGTATATTTTAACAAAAAAAAATTTGAACACTTCAGCTTCAAAATGAGAGGCTTCAGTCTAATATTCATTCTTTTCTACAATTGACAGATTCAAAGCACAACTGTCACAAACTCCTGCTTCTAGAGTATGTCGTCTGGACATCTTTGGCATGCTATTTTGACTGTACTATGGTTTATAGTGATCTTATTATTGCATACTACATTATACTGGGCAGTTAATACACTTGGGTTCAGCCAGACACTTTAAGTTTAAGTTTAACTGATATCTTCTCTCTCACGCTCCATCCTTCTCTCTCTTCCTCCGGCTGCCTCCAGTCTGACTGATAGACCATTCACACTCAACCTCAAGAGAGTCTCTCTCTCTCACACCTCTCTAAATCATCCCTCACTTCATTCCAGTCCTTTATTCTTCCCCTGACTCTCACCCTTTTCCTCCCAATTCTTCCTCTATACATCGTCTCATCCCTCTAGAGATCTCTCCTGTCGGCCTGCTTCTGGTAATCACAGACAGGTAGAGACAGATAGCAATACTTCTTCCCCAGTCTCTCTCACTTTATCTCACTTTATCTTGCTCTGTCTCTCTAATGTTGTCTGAGATCAGAGAGGGCTGCTAAGTCTTTCTAATTTTATTTTACAATTTTTTAAAACCTTTTTGGTGTGGTATTTAGTTTTGAAAATAACGGTAATCCTGTTTTCTTTCTTTCTTTGCTTTTTCGAATTAAAAGTATTGCTCGCACAAAAATTTTAATTGTCATAATTTAGCCTCATATTGTTATAAACCTGTTTTTTTTTCTTTTGAAGATATTTTGAGAAATTTGTCAGTGTCCTTTTTAATTCATGCAATTAAAGTCAGTGGTAACTAAAATTGTTTGCTTACCAGCATTCTTCAAAAAATGTGCATGTCTGTTCCACAGAACATTTTTGGGTGAACTGTCTCTTTAAAAACTGTAGACATTGCAAAACATTGCACCGAAAAGCTTTGTTAGTCCAATAACCTGTTCCTTAGAACCATTTACATCAAATTATCTTCTGATTGTCTGTGATTGTGTCTTTCACACAGCAATTTTGTGTGAACAAACAAATTGCTCTGCACTTGATGCTTGTCACGTCATTTCTAGAAAGATTACATTGTAAGGATGGCCAGAATGTCAGCAGTAGAAAATTGATTGGTAGTGGTGTATGTGTTCAGTTGAATTTGCAAAAGATTTTTTTTTTCCATTTGTCAATTTTTACATGTATTTGTTACACCAATTGTGCTTTTGTATTCTTTTTAGGTTCAGCATGCATATGTTTATGTAATGTATTCACTTTATAATATATATGACACTGCAGTAAGAAGCAGTACTGGTTTGATGTCATGGTCAGAGTGATATTAGAATATGTGTGTTGAGTTATTCATTTAACTTAGTGTCCTTATTTTCATAATACTCTGCTGCCACCTAGTGCTACATCTCTCTCTCTCTCTCTTTCTTTCCAACTTTCAGTCATCTGCACCACTCCTGCTGTCAGACACAAAAGCCAATCAGTGCTTGTCCTTAAAGAGTGACAGTAGGAGTGGAGAGGAGTGTGTTGGTTCAGTCAGGGACCTCACACACGCATACATTAACATCAGTGTTTACATATCCCTCACATAGACACTTAGGTACACACTGGAGATTGAACACAATTACCACACACACAGTTTGTCAGACCTAACCTAGTCACAGTCTTCCGATCAAACACACAAACACACACTCATTTACATATAAATTGCAGTAAGTAGGACAGAAGCTTTTGTTCAAATGAGGACCGAAAGCACAGGGGTATCGAATGAATACACTTTGAGCTTCAATGTGTATGTGTGCAACCTTAGCAATAGTTTGAGGACAGGCTTATGTCATTTTAAATATAATAGGGTTAAACAATAGAATCAATATATAGAACAATAAAACAATAGAATGATTTTTGTGCTTGCATGTGTGCTAGAATATCCACCACTTTCATTGATCATATATTGCATGCTATATTATTATCTGTATTCATACTTATATATCTGATCAATGTTATTTAGCACCATTCCCATGACATTTGAATTGATTTGATTGGACTAGTTTATTGTGTGACTGTACATCGTCCAAATGATAGTTCAGCAGCACTCAGTGAAATCAGGATAGATGCTGATGCCAGTATTGTTCCATGCTGTTCTTGTAGGAGATATTTGGATCTGTAGACACAGAGGAGCCAGGATTGACTGGAGAGCATCTTAATACCAGACTGGAACAGAGGTTTAAATCTAAACTAGAGCACAGAAATGCTATTATTACCCATAATTCATGGGATGGCTCTCAGCATTCCTTGAAAGAGCAAGCTTTTCTCTTGGCTCGATTACTCAAAACCGCTGTTCTCTTTCCCTGCAATTACACAAAACATTTACTTTTTTTCTTGCTATTTTACTGGAGCTTCCTCAAATCATCCAGAAGAAGCAAATGTGCTTCAGTAAAAAACAGATAAGATGTGATTAAAGTACTTTTACAGATTCATTCATTCTGTCATTTGGGTCATTATTGGATCATTTCACCTCACTTTATACATTTTATGTTGTTTCCTGAATGGCTTCTCTCATGGCAAGACCAAAATTGTATGATAGACATAGTTATTCTCTCATATTATCTTAAATGTTTGAAATACCCACCAATCAGCTGTCTCATCTCTTTGACCCTCAACATGACGTATTGTTGGTATTGGTCTCTTGGCAGATATGGGTGGCCAGAGCAAAGGGAAAATAAATAAATTGAAATTAAAAATTAAAATTTATATATATACATTTTTATGTATATTTATAATATAAATATTTTAATGTTTCATTTAGTAATTTATTTCACTTCTTTTTATTGAATAAACTGTACTCTGACTCACTCCTGCAACTGCTGGTTTTCCTGCATGAAATATCATACTTTCCTTCACTCTTCCCCTTCTCTGTATGTGGGTCATGTATACATGACAAAAAAAAGATGTGTGTGCGTGCGTGCGTGTGTTTGCCTTTGGGCTGTGTTCTAAAGTTTGAGGGAGGATGCTGGCAGTGGTTAACAGTAACAGGAAACACCAGTCATCCCACTGGAGCCAATCAGCACAGAGCCCAACTGAACCCAGTTACTCTCCTCTTCAGCAAGAGATGTTTCACTGCTGCACTCTCTCCATTGGGACCACAGCTGTGGTCTGTATGGATGTGTGTGTGTGTGTGTGCATATTTATTGTCACTTTAAGACGCATTGCGGCTGAAAACTGTTGTGTGTAACATGTTGATGTTTATAACCTGAGATGATGATTCTGTGGGGGTTTATGTATGCTCTCCTCTGCTGCCATGCATTGTTCTAATTCCCCACCGTCCTGAGAGAGAGAGAGAGAGAGAGAGCAGGCGTGCAGGAAGCTGTACTGAGGGAGGAGGGAACTTGGAAAAGAGGAGGGAGGTTTAGAGAGCAATAGAACAGAAAAAGAAATAAAGAAAGACAAAGAAAGAAGGAGGGAGACCTGTCTATTCTGAGTGACATTACAGCACTGATCTCTGTTATAGTGGTGAGTCCTTCTTAAACTCCGGTGGAAACTTTAACAGCCTGTAATTGTGTTGAATATTAATGTTTGAATATTCTCAAGAGTTTCACTTCTAGTAGAGTTGTAGCACTCTGGCAAATATAATAATAGGCTGCTTAACATTCATAGTTTGGGAAATGATAGAGTGTCATAGAAAGTTTGAGAGTTTTGCACTTTGCGTGTCATACAATGTATTTCAGTATGTTAGCATTTTGTCTAAGTGGACGATGTATTGAGTGCAGAAAAATGATGTTGTTTAGTGATGTAGTGATCTCTCTCTGTCATTAGCCTGTGGCTGCTCTTAAAGGAATATACAAAGTTAAATACAAATTGAGCTCTTTAAACAATATCTGTGGCATGTTGTCAATTACCACAAATTAAAATTTCTGTTCTCATTCTTCAGTTAAAAAACTAAAAATAAATAACAACATTTAAAAAAGTAATGCTGTCAGTTACAAGCTTACGGTGGAAGTCTATGGGCCAAATGTACAACTATCCCATGGACTTCTATTGTAAGTGAATTGTCAATGTGTTCCTTAGTTTTTAGAAAAGTCCAAATATTTTTATGTGATACTTGTATTTAAGGAGGGTCATTATTTTAACCATTCCAAAATGTGGTGTTCAATAGTTATGGTATTCAACACCTCTGCAAACATTTTATTTTAGACAGCTGTGTGAATTTCAAGTTTGAAATTCAAGTTTGGAGTCCTTATGTTTTATTATTTTTTATTATTTGCTTTAAATTGATCAATATAATACATCTAATATAGCTCTAACATGGACTCCAATGTTAAACAAAAATGTAAAGCAGCACAGCTGTTTTCAACATTAGCCAGGGTTCCATCCAAGGATTTTTTTTTTTGGCGGAAAAATATTTAGCACTTACATTTTTACCGATACAGCTGATGGAAATGTTTATTTGCTTTAAATTGATCAATATAATACATCTAATATAGCTCTAACATGGACTCCAATGTTAAACAAAAATGTAAAGCAGCACAGCTGTTTTCAACATTAGCCAGGGTTCCATCCAAGGATTTTTTTTTTTTGGCGGAAAAATATTTAGCACTTACATTTTTACCGATACAGCTGATGGAAATGCCATTTATTGATAAAATTTCTCATGTGTCGACACAATCTTTTTCCGTTTAACTTTACAGCATAAATTCTATATCGATACGTCAAATGGCGCAAAAATTAGTTTGGAAACACTTTTTGTCGAGAAAAGGGGCTTTAACGCAAATAAATGTGTTGTCACATGACAGAATTAGCTTATAGGCAGCACCTGTGTTTGTGTTGCTCACGTTAAAGCACCGTTTCTCTGTAGTTCAAAAGCGCATTAAATCATATTCATATTATTAAATTGACAAGTTACCTCTCAAACATTCATATCTTAATTTGATATTCCTTTAGTATACGTTGCAAGTTAAAATGTATTAATTTTGTTCTGAAGATCTTGTTTTACGTGGATATTGGAACTATAAGTACAACATTTTAAATTAATTAGTTTTGGCTTGTTAGTAGCTTCTTATATTTTTATTCTTGTTTTGTTCTGAGTACTGTTCTACCGTTAAATTTAAAGGATTTGTTCTGGAATTAGGGGAAATAAAATAGCATGTTTTTTTCAATATGTTTGGCTGACTGTATTTTATTATGACAATGAACAGGCTGCGTTGTCGAGTTAATAATGCTAATAACTGCGTGTGGGAGGCACCGGCACGATCACTTGATTTTTTTTTCCCTTATAAAAGTGGAAACAACTTACAATAGCCTACTCCTTCATTTGTGGCCATATAAAAGCAAGACATTATTCAAAACTATTCTAAATATTTCTTTTATTTGTGTACATTCACAATAAAAACAAAACATTGTGCTTTTGTAAAATAAAGGAAACAGACAGGATGTCGCTTTTTCAAAAGGCATTTTTCGAAACGAAATTCTGCATATATGCTGCTATATTTTTTTTCTTTCGTTTTGTTAATTCATTAATTATGTAGAAAAATATATTTCGCATATAGGCCTGTTTATTTCTTTTACAGCTTTATAATGTTTTTCTCCGTTCGCAGAAGCGCTGCAGGTGCGTGACATGACCATGTAAATCCTCAGGTTCTGTTGTTTATGCTGCTTTTTGCGTGTATAAAATGAATCCCTGGAAAACAAATTTAGGTATTTTTAATGGGTCACAGCCACATATAAATTCAAATTTTATTTAATTTTAATTTAAAATAATCTTCTCGGTTAGCGGTTAATAATGGCTTAACGACCGTCGGTTGTCGGTTAGGCTATAGAAGAAATAAAAAAATAACCCGAAATGAACATTCCTATTTCCTAATAAAAGTAAAAATAATACTAATACAGCTGCTCCTGTTTATGATTATTGCTTGCTAATCAAGTATCTAAATAAAAATAATTTTATGTTGGCCTATACAATTTAATAATAGGCTATATAATTAAGTTTTGTTTCAAATGGATAAAGAGCAGGCTACTAGCCTATATAATTTACGCAACATAGGTGAAATTATGCATGGAAACAGCTCAAGGGCTTTTTTTTTTTTAAGGGATGACGTCATAACACACAATTTTATCGGTAAAAGGCCAGTTGGATGGAAACAGGCTGTAGACAGCAAATTTCTCAAAGTTTTTTTTACCCATATTCTCTTTGTCGATAACAAAACAGCACAAAAATTGGATGGAAACCTGCCTATTGATAATACAATGTTTCTTGAGCACCAAATCAGCATATTAAATTGATTCCTGAAGAATCATGTGACTGGAGTAATGGCTGCTGAAAATTCAGCTTTACCGTCAAAGGAATAAATTAAATTTTACAATATATTAAAATAACAGTTATTTTAAATTGCGATAATATTTC